AAAATAATTAAGTGCGTGTATATATATATATATATATATATATAAGCTAACATGCGTGTCGGAAGCAGTTGGCTGACTCTGCATATTGACTACACGTGACAGTTATTACCGTCCGGTGACGTCAACTGGACATCACGTTTTTGTACTGTTCGCCACGAGGCTTATGACCACAACGCACACCAAGTATCCCGTAGCACTACTTAAGACGCACCAACTCGTGGTTGTCAGGTGTGCACCACAACTACAGCGCTGGGTTCTGAGTCGTGGTTGAAGTCATGACGTGAAGCCGTGGCGTATGGAGTCCCGACTTACGATCAAAAAATTAAAAATACTTTTTTTTTGTTGTCTATTTTCAATTAATATTTTTACGATCGACTCACACCGTACATTTGAGATGATCGATCATAAAATTATTTTGGGATGCAAGGAGTTTTGAACGACACCCATGGAATCATGTGTTTCCAACCTGTTTCAGGTGGCAGGGCCATCAAGATTTGCATCTATTTGTCTGAGTTCTAATCATCCATAAAGCCAGATCATAGAATAAGACCACAGCATTCCATGAACCGACGCGAGTCCAAAGGGTGGTGGGTTGGGGCCCACCCATCGTACGCCCATCCCCACCCTCTTTTCTCCCTTTTATCCCTCCTATTTAATTCGCTGCAACGCAGAGACCCACCGACACCGAGACTCTCACTCTCGGGCCCGCCATGGGCCTTGAGTTGCCAATCACCAGACGGGTAACGTTCGCGGGTAAACGGTGAAACCTTTGCAGAACTAAGAATAAAAAAGACCCCTATACTTATGCCGAGGCACCCACGAAGGCCACCGTTTCTTTCCGAGGTGGACCCCACCCCAGATCACGTTTTCGTACGCGTTTCTTTTGTCCGCTCACCACCAACTAATTTCCCATTTTTTATGTGATTGGTTAATGCTTTTCTCTGTTTAATCGTAATCGAGCGGAGAGACTTCACGCGGAGGCCGAGCAAGCGAGCCGGCAGAGGTAACGGCGCCGTGGAAGTCAGAAGCGACGCCGACAGCTCGTCTGCTGCAAGTCCTTTTTACGCCTTGCGCAGCTGCCGAATTCATCGTTTAGCCCTCCGTATGTAGCGGCGACTAGCGATGTCTTTAAGGGTAGTTTTGGTTTTTCACGTCGCGGATGGCAGAATTACCGCAGCTGAAGCGGACGAGTTAAGATCACGGGACTTGGAGTTACCGACCCCCTTCTGGGCCCCGCAGTGACAGCCTGTCGTGAGGCGTCTCTGTCCCCCACGCGTTCCTTTGCCTTCGATGCTCTCCTCTTTCCACTCCCACAAAAAGTCCTCATCTCTCTCTCACTTTCTCGCTCTCTCTGTCTCTCTCTCTCCGTTCACCAGCAAGAAATAGAGAAGAGAGGCAATCAGGAGAGTCTCGTTGCGGTCTGCTTGCTCGCCGGCGTCGCCATGGCTCGTGACTCCCTCGGCGGGGCTACCGCGCTCCTTTTCCTCCTTGTCTCGGTAGCGGTATCCTCGGTAAAGACGGAATCTGACGCCTCCACGGCCACATTGGCCACCGCATCATCGGGCGGGCAGATCAACTCCAACTCGGTTCTTGTCGCCCTACTCGACTCGCACTACACGGAGCTGGCGGAGCTGGTGGAGAAGGCGCTTCTGCTCCCCTCCCTGGAGGCCGCCGTCGGCCGCCACAACCTCACCATCTTCGCCCCTCGCAATGAGGCTCTCGAGCGAGACCTTGACCCCGAGTTCAAGCGCTTCCTCCTGGAGCCCGGCAACCTCCGCTCCCTGCAGACCCTGCTCCTCTACCACGTCGTCCCTGCCCGCATCCCCTCCGAGGCTTGGCCCCAGTCCCGCCACCCCACCCTCGCTGGTGATCATATCCACCTCTCCTCCTCCGGGGAAGGATCTTCCGGTGGGGGCAAGACGGTCGGCCTCGCGGCCGTGGTGCAGCCGGACGCGGTGGTCCGCCCGGACGGCGTGATCCACGGCATCGAGCGCCTTCTCGTGCCACGGTCCGTGCAGGAGGATTTCAACCGCCGGCGCAGTCTCGCCGCTATCTCCGCCGTGCTCCCCACCGGCGCCCCCGAGGTGGACCCCCGCACCCATCGCCTCAAGAAGCCGGCGCCGCCCGTCCCGGCCGGCGCTCCTCCCGTGCTCCCGATCTACGACGCCATGGCCCCAGGCCCGTCGCTGGCGCCCGCGCCCGCCCCCGGCCCGGGCTCCGGCAAGCACTGGTTCGACGGGGAGAGCCAGGTGAAGGACTTCATCCAGACCCTGCTCCTGTACGGCGGTTACAACGAGTTCGCCGACATCCTGGTGAACCTGACGTCGATGGCGACAGAGATGGGGCGGTTGGTGTCGGAAGGCTACGTGCTCACCGTCCTGGCCCCCAACGACGACGCCATGGCGCGGCTGACGACGGACCAGCTCAGCGAGCCCGGGGCACCGGAGACCATCATGTACTACCACCTCATCCCCGAGTACCAGACGGAGGAGAGCATGTACAACGCGGTCCGCCGGTTCGGGAAGGTGCGCTACGACACCCTGCGGGTGCCGCACAAGGTGGTCGCGAGGGAGGCCGACGGCTCCGTCAAGTTTGGCGCCGGCGAGGGCTCCGCCTACCTGTTCGACCCCGACATCTACACCGACGGCCGCATCTCCGTGCAGGGCATCGACGCCGTTCTCTTCCCTCCCGACGAGGACGCCCCTCCCGCCTCCCCTCTCTCCCCCGCCGCCCGCAAGGCCGAGCTCGCCCAGGTCAAGGCCAAGACCAAGCTCAAAGCCAAGCTCCGAAGAGGTAATTATTATTATTATTATTACCACTAATTATTCCTCTTCTTTTTTTTCCCCTTTAAATCATTTATACTTATTAATAATTGTGCTATAAACATATATATAATTATATAGGGGAATAATTTGTAGAGTTGTGCCTATAATGTGGTGATAGTATAATGCTTCTTGGAGTTGGTGAGGGCATGTGGGCACAGCTTGACAGTGTCGGCGGAGTTCATTACTTGAAGTGGAAGAATACTTTTCCATGTTTCCTATACCTTTTTCCTCTTCTTTAATTTCTTCCTTTTGCGCTTTTGTTTTTTGTTTTCTTCCACTTTGTTGCTTTGTGTGGAGTAGGGGATATGTAGATGTTAATAGTTGTGGTCTTTTCCTACAACCATCCCATGCCATATATAATTATATTACCAATAGTAGGTGATTTGTCACCACCAAAAGCTATAGAAATGTTTTCTTTTCTTGCAGTAGCACCACAAAACCCAGCCTGTATCTACTGTTGAAGTTGACCTCTCAACTTCTCCAAGGAGAATGACAACATGGGCTGTCAGATTATTGTGTATATATATCTTGTGTGTGTGTTTTATTATTTATTGCATGGGATTAGACTAACACAAGGCTGTGTGGTGGTTCATTGCAGGGAAATTGTTGGAAATTGGATGCAGTTTGCTTGGGGTGTTGGGTCAAAGCTCTCACTTTGCCACTTGCCAATAGAGATCACACTGTCTGAGACACATACAAAAAAAAAGTAGAGGTAAAAGCATGACAGAGATATAGCTGCACCCTTTTATTCTTTGCTTAATAAAAATGATGATGGTGGAGGGAGAAGGGGAGTGTTTGGAATGTTGATACTGGTGATTGCTGAGGTGTATAGGAATATGTCCCCCACACCCCCCCCCTCCCCCTTTTTTTTTCCTCATCCACATTTGTTTTGATACAAAGTCAATTTGCAATACTGCCCTCAAATTCTCTCTTTCTTGATTTTGTGGAGCATGAACTATATGTAGCATTATATTCTCCCTCTATTTCATGGATTTTGAAATCTACCAATCAGATAGAAGGTTTTTTGAAGTCTTTTCCTCCTAATGTACACTATTTGATGGCCACTATTTTCCAGCTGACTTGGATCACTTTTGAGATGTATACCTAAGAGAAACTTCATCAAATTTAAGACCACAAAATAGAAGAGCCAGAGAAAAATAAAGAAATGACTATATCATTTATGTATTGGCCATCCATGTGGTGCCAAGAGAAATTACCAGAGTCATAAGAAAGCTGAAACAGAGGCAAGTTTAGCTAGTGGATTGTAAATAAATATATGCAATTGCCATTATTTTACAAGCTTATAATTGGGCTTTTTTGATCATAGCTGTTGTCCTCCTATATACTACTGTATCCTGCTCTGACTGGCTAACACTTGAGATCATTGTTTCCAGTTGGACTACAGCAAATCCTTCTCCTTTTCTGTGAACTATAAACTACATAGCATTTATATTTCTATTAGTCAAAAGATTCTGAACTCCAGATGTTTCATCAGCTCTTTTTGGAGTTTGATCCATCTGGTTTTGGCCTTGCTCATGATAAAGCTCTTAAATCAGACTTATGTGAAAAGGACAGATGATTCTTGTTTGTGTGTGGATTTAAAATGTCAGTGAAGGCTAATTTTACATAAAAAAGTTGAAACCAGTGACTGACTGACTGACTGACACACCATTTCTCTTTTAAGCTAATTTAATTCTGAAAACAATTATTAGAAACATCAAACTTCCTTTTAGAATCCATGTGTCTGTGGATATTTAACTTTCTGTAATATATTTAATAATCAAATATGAACCTTCAGCAGGAAGATTTTGCCATATTAATGTCAAGAATCCTCCTGTCTTGCTAAAGAGACAAGCTATTTCTATTGCCATAGAAGAGAAGAGAGAGTAACTGCTACTTAATTTTGGAGAATTGATTCCATATCCTTGGTATAATCAAGAGTAGCTACATGGCATGCAGTAGTCGTAGGTAAAGTCATCACTAAATTAAACCAACAGCCTTGACCTAACAAAAGTTTCAGGTGCTTGATACCACCAAAGAAAGACAACCTAATGGACAGTGACCAAACATTCAATGTAGTTCAATTGTTATGAAAAACATGATATTTCTGCAAGGAAAGAAGAGAAATTCTATTCAGCAAGAGAAAATCATGCCACAGTCTTTTAATTCCCAAAATAAAATCTCATAAACAGATTTGAACCCAGTCAAATAAATCAGGTGAACTGGGCCATACTTTGCAATTACAGGGGCACCAATGCTCTCTAAAACTGGTGATGGATCTCAAAATTATTATCGCTGCCTTGTGAGTACAACAACAAAGAGCCACTACCAGGTCCTATGACAACTCTATAAAGTGATAATTACAAAAAAAGAATATGAACCACGGAACTACCTCGTCGTCAATCGAGCTTTAACGCCTCCCTAAAGCCGATACTGAAGTTAGCCTGCAATCCTCTCTTGCCGAATCCAGCGTCTCCTTTGTTCATCATAGCTACAAATTCATTGTAGTCTATACGTCCGTCCTGCCACAAAGACAAGATGAAGATACAAAAAATGAGCAGATTGCTTTGTGTAATATGGCCTTGAGACAGAATGTAAAACATTTGCCAGAGATGAAGGATTTACATTATCTTGATCCGCTTCTCGGATCATTTCATCCAGCTGCACATCATGTATGCCGAATTCTTCACAAGCCTGTTGCAGTTCATCTTGAGTTATGTAACCACTCCCATCTTTGTCGAAGTATGAGAAGGCCATGAATAAATGATCCTCCCTCTCTATCTTATTTAGCTGTAAAGTGGCAGCAACAAACTCGCCATAGTCGATTGTGCCGCTGTTATCAACATCTGCCTAATATTTTCCAATTTCCAACAAAGAGAGTAAGAAGAGAGAATAAGAAAATGATAATTAACTTAAGGTACTGAATGAACTCTTTCTCCAAATGTTTTGCATGAGAAGTCAATAATTTTCAAGTAAAGGAAGTGACCATCTACCAAACTAACCGACATTATAAAGTTTGGTTTCTTCCAAACTAAGAGAAGATTACCATGAAGCATCTATGGATGAATTAGACATCATTTAACATAAAGGTGTTTGTGTAATTTGGAGGTAATATTACTTATAAAACTGATGTTTCTGACAGCAGATTTTTATTGTTTAATATGCTATCCCAGCTCTTGGATCTTTTGAATACCTACCGCCTGCATAAGTGCATAAATTTCCGACTCCTGGAGATTAGCACCAACTCTTTCCAATCCAGCCTTGAGTTCTTCAAATGTTATCTGCCCACTGTTGTCTGTATCTATCATCTTAAACATTTCCTTAAGGCCAGCAATTTCATCCTCAGAAAGGTGTTCAGCAATAACCTATAAGAAGGACATACTTAGAGAAAATAAAGAAATTGGAGGTGACAAGGAAAAAAACAAAAACATGCCATATATACGATAAACCATTTACATTAGTGTAAATGACAGTAAATTAGAACGAAAACAGAATGAATGATATAAAAAAATCAGAGATCATAGTTCAGAATAGAGTAACATGTGAAACAAACTAGAGAAAAATACCCTACATTACCAGATGACTAGAACCAAAACAAAAAGGAAAGGAAATACATGAGACTTTCACACCCATGGATGAACAATATAAATATTATATATATGCCTAGTACAGAATCTACTGCAAATGTGGATTCCTTCTAACTCGAGCCAGACTTCTAAAACCCCTGAACAGAAAACCTGCATCATTTATGCATGGTCAATTTCACCTAAAAGAGAAGGGTGCAGATCTCAAGATAACCAACATGGCTTGTCAAATTTGCACAAAGGCATGATTAAGGTTATGCTAACTTGTACATTGACCCCAAAAGATTACTCTTGCAAAATTGTAGGGAGCAATGATCAACTTGAGAAGAATAAAATAATGAGAAGCAACAATATTGCAACATCAACCTTCTTTGCCATTGTGATTGTAAACATGCATGAAAAAGCATGCAATGATCACAGCCAACATCAATGAAAGAGATAATCTCATTTAGAGCTTTGCTAGGTTGATTTGTTCAAAAAAAACATTCATAGCTAATCATCCAAATTAGTATCAAAAGCCACCTAATTTTCCAAAATTATGACTTCTAAAGCTTACTCTGATAGCCATCTTTTTAAGTTTGTTCATGGCAGAAAATTGTTTCAAGCGAGAAAGAACTGCAGAATCCAGAGGCTTGTCAGGAGCCACTCCATCAATCTGAACCCATGGATGACCTGGAAATAATCCAACAGTGAATTAAGCAAACTCAGTTCATTATAGAACTGAATCATCAAAATTTCCTTACAAGCAATGAATTCATGATTGGCAAACTAGATGACAAATCTATTAGCACTTTCTAAGTTATGCATGCAACTGGACGATGATGTTGATCAGGGAACAGATATCATGAAAAATTAAACAACTATAGCTAGACGACATTTTTTAATGGGAGTCAAAGTGTCGGTTAGCAGTGTAAGTCACATTTCAAACTCTGTCACATGGATGTGCTTTCATGGTATCATCCATTGTTGTCCTTGGGGTATGCCGATGCAGTAAAAGAAAACATGTTAATAGCAAATCATGAATTTTCACTCTTGGAATTCAATGCAAATAGTTTCTTATAACCGTGAATATATCAAAATTGAAGTCCAACTTACACAAAACATCATGAGCAGTCAACCGCCTCCTGGGGTCCCTAACAAGCATTTTCCTTACAAGTTCTTTGGCACTGTTTGAGATGCTGGGCCATGGATCTGACTGAAAGTCAAGTTTACCATGTAAAACCTCTTCAAATATACCTTGCTCGGTTTCTGGATGTGATGTAAATTACAGCACATAATAGGTGAGAAGTAGGTGATATATACCAATTAACTGTCCAAAGTAAAACTCCAAGCAAACACAATCAGAGGATAAATGTCTCACCAGCCCAAAATGGAGGAACACCACTAAGAAGAATATAAATGATCACCCCAGCACTCCAAACATCTGCCTCTCGACCATACCGTTTTTTCAGAACTTCAGGTGCAACATAGTAAGGGCTACCAACCACATCAGTAAATATCTCTCCTGGAAAAGATATATTCCAATTCCATTAATGAAAATAGAAGAGCTATAGTGTTCCTAAGAATATTAACTAGTCACTCTTTTCTCTCTAAAGTTTGCCCCAGAGTTTTGCGCATCCAGTATGATGAGTAACAATGATGTGTTGTCTCAAGAGTCTGGTTATAATAGAAGATGAAAACAATGAAACAAAACAGTAATAGACAAGAGTCGCAGAGGATTAGATTCTTCTTTGGTGGAATGAGGTGCTGATTGAACTATCAAATGCTTAAAGAGCAAGTACATATACCGAAAAAGATGCACCTTGAGTTTCATAACAAAATATAATAGCACTGGACCGCAAAAAGAAGTGTACCTGGCCGGAAGAAGATTGACAATCCAAAGTCAATGGTCTTAAGAGGTGAATCCTCCATTTGATTGACGAAAAGAAAATTTTCAGGCTTGAGATCTCGATGCATGACCCCCATCGAATGACAAGCTTCCACAACTCCAACAATCACCCTTGCAAGCTCTGCTGCCTTTCTTTCTGTGTAATGCCCCTTCTGAATGATCCTATCAAATAACTCACCCCCAGCACACAACTCCATGACAACATGGACAGCCACAGCATCTTCATAGGCCCCTTTGATGGAGATTACACTTGGGTGACCTGACAAATGATGCATTATCTGGATCTCTCTCCTAACATCCTGCACATCCTCCTCTGTCACCAATTTCCTCTTCAAAATGGACTTGCAAGCATACTCCTTGCCAGTTTCCTTCTCCACACAAAGATACGTTGTTCCGAATTGTCCTTGCCCAAGTTTCCGTCCTAAGCTGTAAACGTCCTTCAAACTATTGGTTTTGTGTTTCAAAATAAACTCTTCCTGAAGTCCTGCCACACTGGAGAGTCTCTTGACATGGGTCGGCTTCTTGGGTTGGTTCGACGAGGGTACGTCGGATGCCTGCTTGCCCTCCACTTCTGGAAGTCTGGGTGGCTCGGTCTGTTTATTCTGGATCTTAACTGGTTGGGGAGCATCGACATCCGGTTTAGCTGGTGCTGGCGCATCCGAGGTCCCCTCACCAGCAGCCTCATTATTGGCAGCTGGAAGAGCCTCCTTGTTCAATCGACTACGCCAAAGAGTAGCTGACACCGATTGGAAAAATCCATTCTTCAAGAGGCTCGGCCCAACACATGCGTTCCCCATCCGATTCAAGAATCAATATTCCCAAAGAACCCTCCTCTGCATTGTCTCGAACACCTCCAACGCGTACGTACCCAAAGCTAAAATTCAAACCTTGTACCGATCAAATTCCCATCCTGAGCCGGAACCCCGCAGAGATGCACATAAAAATGGGATCTTCCGCCAAATTTTTTTAATTTCACGTGCAAATTAGATCCTTACACGGAGAAAACGAACAACAATGGGCAATAAGAGAAAGCTCCCGCCGTTGGGCTAAACGACAACGCGAGAACGAACCGAATCCATCCAATTCCAGGAAGAATCCAAAATGTAGAGGGGGAATTCCAACAAAACCCTAGAAATCCCCCGTCCGATGGGGACGGACCTGATCCTGCACCAAAATCAGCAAATGGACGCCCGATCAGAGGCGATAGCTTGTCGAAAGAGGAAGCCGTGGAGGAGGGGGGACCGGAAACCAAATGGTGGGTCGGAGGAAGGAGGAAGAGGGGGGAGGATGGCGCAAACGGGTCAACGGAGCGGTCCAATTCCCGGCTGCTCTCCGTCTCCTTTACGATTCGATTTCGGTCGTCTTGCCCTCCCCAATTTGTCGAATTAATTAATTCATCAATTGATTACTCACTAATTTTATTTTGGAATTTTAGTATAGTATAATTGAATCGGTCGGTCTAATTTGACGTGCTTTTAACTCGAATAAATTAGGATTAAGATTAAAATTATGATTTAAGATTGGGTTTGGAAGGTTACTGGACATTAAGTACATGATAAAGATGATTTGACTTGGTCAACACTCGATCGTCAATGACATTAACATGGCAAATGCGAATGATAGGACGAGATTTCTAGCTTCAAATGACACGTTGCATCGAGCCCGAATGAGCTACTAATCAAAGAACAAACATCCTCTGGATGGATTAAGATTGACTTGGATAAACGATTTATGGAGCTTAATTAACCTTCTGTTGAGCTCAAGATTTTAAATGTCGATTGGGGATCTGTTCCCATAATTCGTTGGATCAGTATAATTTATTACCTATATTTGATTATGTATTTACGCGAATTTTACTCTGTGAAGTGCATATCTACCCGCGCGGGCTACTCACGTTATGATTGGTGTACTTGTGGGACCCGCATATAGGCCTCCCGCTGTTTCCCGAGTGGGTGCGACGGACACGTGAGTGACCGAAAGGCTCGAGCAATAAAACTCGCCACCCGTTTTTTATCATTTGCTTTACAGTGGGTTTGGGTGGGCTCCACAGTTTGTTACCGATCACCAAAACGGTAAGTTAGCGGGTAAATAATTCGACGGCTGGAAAATACTATTCGTGTTATACCTTCCCACCTCGCAGTAGCACCACGAGAGCCACGCTTTAAATTCTTGGTCGGTAAAAATGCTGTTTGCTGTTGTCCTCAAATTTGGATAAATTCCAGGCGATCTGCTTAATCTACAGAGGCCCCGAGTGACTGACCCAAAAGAGAGCCAATTGGGCTAGCGCATCGAATTAGTTATCAGACCTGATTGGGGTTTTTGTCTGGGTCTTCTTGTAGGGTGGAAATATTATATGACGCATTAAGTGAAGGATCTAAAATACGTACAAATATACGTCTATCCGTAAGCGTATAAATATACCACGGCGGCGGCGGCGTAGAACCGGTCCCATAACCTAAATGGAAGAGTCCTTTCTCTATTCCTCCACCTCCGCGGCTTCTTTCCCACCTTCACCGCACTAAACCCCTCGAAGCTTCGATTTTTCGTCTCTATTTCGCCTCTTTTTCCTCGCCATCGCCTTCTCGGCCTCTCTCGCCCCTCCATTGCGTTGTTCCCATGGCGACATCGGGCTACGATGGGAGAATCGGGGGGAAATTACGGCGACGGCCGTTCCGCAGGGCCGCCGCAACGCCCTACGACCGCCCCCCCAGCGCCGCCCGTGGCCTCACGACCACGGTGCCGGAGCCCGGGGGCGACGGGTGGCTGGCGAAGCTCGTCGATCCGGCGTCACGATTCATCTCGAGCAGCGCGTCCCGGCTCTTCTCGTCCGTGTTCCGCAAGCGGCTCACCTCGCCGCCGGCCGTTGAAACTCCAGGTTTGGTGGTCGTAGCTTTGCTTTCTTGGATTCTTGGGGCTATGCGTTTTTCTTGTTCGGGTTGTTCTCGGACGACGGTTTTTGGACTGACGCCTAGGGTTTTGATTGTGGGTATTTTTTGTTTAGATTCGATAATGTTGGGAGGAAAGTACTGTAGTTTTCATTAGTTGCAAAACAAAACTCAGTTCATCTATTCGAGTGATAGGTTTTCGACAATCTGTTAGTTGGCGAGCAACTAAAATCAAGTTGGATCATTGACGCTAATTGAACATGGTAGATAGTCTGAATCCACGTCTTCGATCTCCGACCATGTGAATATGCACTCGTTGCATTGTCGCTCGCAAGCAGTTACAGCTTCCGTTTTCTTATTTTTCTTCTCACGGCATCAGTTAATTTTTCTTTGTGTGATCCATTTAATTTTTATTTTACCTGGAATATTTCATTTCATGGTTCTATTTGCTTATGAATGATTTATCTTCTCTTTTGAATGCAGTGCATGTTTTATTTTCAAGTAGAGGTTTTTTATCTTTTTCTTTCTCCAAATATGGCACTTTCAGAACTGTTATATATGACTCCTTTTGTTGAGTTCTTATGAGTTATGTGGATATCACATTCTTGATCACGCTTTAAACTTGCTTTGATCTTTGACGTTGTGACTATCCTTTTCATTGTATCCTCTGATCCCTTGTATTGGCTATAACTTGCTTCCTTTACCTTGTTGATAAAGTTTGTAATCCTATTACGAGGTGCTCTTCCGCTTTTAATTCTAAATTTTGTTGCTCAAAAGCGCGTTATCTTCTTTTAACAATACATACTTCAGTGCTCTACCATGGTTGCTTTTCTGAAGAGAGCATTCACCTTTTTGATTGAAAGGTTCTTCAAATTACAGGGTCTTGTATTTAATAGATATTTTGAGATCCTGGATCAGATTCATTACAGGATGCTCCTTTACACCTTTGAGTCTACTCATACATTGTCTTTTTATAATTTACCTACTGATCAGTTTGTGCACTTATGCAAGGGTCTATCCTGATTTTAATTTCCACATTTTTTATTTTGCAATGTTAAGTCAGTGAATCATAATAATGGTAACATATGAGAATGTGATATTGCCTATATCTCATTGTAAGATTTTGAGTGCATCTAGAAAGTGGAATATTATGTGCATGTGTAAAATGGAAGGGCCTCCAGTATGACTATGATGTTGTTATATTCCGTGTGTTAGCTAGCCGTTTACTTGAACAAGTGCATTGGTAGTGATCTAGTTTGGATGCAAATGATCAGATCATAAGCTGTGGTAATAATTGAGGTATTAATTGCTGCGTTTATGCTACCTCATATATTGCGAGGCACATAACTTGATGTGCATCACTGTTCCATGCTTTACCATGCTTGTGTTAGGCACATGGGTGGGTTTTAGTTACATGTAAGGCATCTTGCATGCACTGGTGCTACTGTGATGTGGAGCTATATCCTTTTGGTTGCAACTTTCTTGCTTTGATTGAAGCTATATCCTTTTGGTTCAAATATTTTGATATGATACTATTGGATGAACGATTTTAAGATTGTTTCAATAAATTAGCACAGTAGATTATATAGTTTGGACAGATACTTTCTATGTATGTGTTTTTAAGATTGTTTTATATTTTATTTACTGTATTTTTCCCTTGGAATAAAGTTTCACTGTTTGATTTTCTGTCGGTCACTTTGCTTGGCCATGAGTCTTTTTTTTTTTGCTGCTTGTGATGGTTTTTTCAGTTGTTAGATTTAACAAATTCATCTCTTTTTTATTATTCGGATACATCTATTATTTACAGTAGTGCTAAAGTGTTCTTTTTTTCTTCGTCTAACTGGATTTATTTGATCGTGCAAATATTTAATAGAAATTTATGCTTTTGAACTAAATAACAATATGTTTTACCTATGATATTTTATGTGCAGGAGAAAACTTACAATCTAGAGAAATCGCTGAAGCATCTTCTGATGTAAGCAACAGTAAACATCATGCTTGATAGACATTTAGTTTCTAGGGTTCTTATGACATGAACATTTAGATGATATTGCTTTTGTGTTTACATTGTGAATTACTTTTACTATTGGACCTGAAGGATCTACTTTATCACACGACCCCTACTTTTCTGATTTCTGATTCTCAATGAATACTTGAGTTTTATCCCCATGCTCTACTATCATTATGCAAATGTTGGGCTTGTGAAAAGTTTTTGTTCTTTTCACCAAGGTGCTCTTTTCGTTTTTCTTTTTTGTTAATGATATGATTGTGAATTTTTGTATAAATAAAAAACTTGCATGGTTGATCAGATTGGCACTTGAAGAATCATGACCACAACACAATATGAAGCACATTGCAACATATTCTTAATGACATCTGTGGTGAATCCCTGTATGCCACAACCATGTCAGTGGTTTCACTAGGACCCCTGATCCACCATAATGAATCTTTTTGGATAAGTATCTGCTGACCACTATCTATATGTTAGATATTTGTCTTGTTCTTTGATTATCTATTTTAAAATAGAGGGAAATGGGCCTCATTTATTTTTGAGTCTTCTAATAAGTTATAACTACTACTAGCATCCACATGCTAGTTATATATATGCATGAAATTATGTTTACATACAAGTATCATGCATACTACATGCTAATGTAAAATTATTCTTCTTCTATGCTTTTAAAGTCACTGAATCATTGTTTCCTTTCGTTATTGCACCCTTGGATATGGTTTTGAATTTTGATACAGTTCTTGTTTGCATATCAGTACAACATATATATATGTTGGTTACATGTCTAACTGAGAGCATGACCATCAACATCCATGCTTTCGTCTTATTTCATGGTTTTCTGAATTGTTATGCAGGAAATGTCAGCTGACTTACAGGAAAATAAAGCTGACAGTGGAAACAATGCAACAAATAATTTTGACAGCAATATGTTTTTGGAGTTCGAACAACTTCTGGAGCACAAAACTTTCACAAGGAAAGTATTTGATTTCTGATGCTGCACATCTACTTCAAGTCTGTTTTTTGTTTATCATCAGTAATGCATCAAAATGTCTATGGCTTGTAGGTGCACTCTTTGTGTATTTCTTACGCTCAGAAGTATTAGATATTTTCCACTTCTGCTCGTAGGAAAATGATTGTTCTAGCCCGTGTTATTCGAGTTGATGCAGTTCATATCTGATTAGATCAAGGGGTCTGAACTGTTCACAATATTGAGATTGGAGCTTCAAGGTTCTTGAGCTTTACAGACCCATCATTTTGTTGTTGTCAGCCTCCTTAATGGGACAATACATCCCATGTTTTATTTTATTTTTTACGACCTGTGCATGCATCTTAAGTGATGTTTTCTATTCCTTCTACTCGATCTGCTGCCTGAAGTTTATTTCTTCGCGCAAGTTGAGCCACTCTTCCATTTTTATGTAGTCTTATGAAAGCCTGATAGTTTTCTCTTGTATGATTTAAAGAATTATCCGACCTTCAGTTTTGGCTTCTTAAATCTTATTGAGTGCCTGTTACAAATATTTTCTCCAATGACTCAATTTTAATGCGTTCTATTTATTGCAGGGCTCAGTTTGAGCATTTGACGGAGATATTGCGCTCAAGAACTATGGATTCAGATATGTCAAAACCTGCAGTTGATAATGACAAAGTGGACGAAACAACTGTTCCGCTACCTGAAAAAGAAATAGAAAGCTCCATACCACATGAGGATTGCAGAACCCCTCCAGATACTCTAGCCGTATGGAAACTGTTATCTCTCAGTATTGCATTTTCAGTCTGTTTAATTCTGTGAAATTTTTTGCATGGATAGTGAATGTTTTGCTTTATGTATTCATGAAAGTGACATCAACCCATCATCACAATTTGTTTTTACCTTTATCCCCCTGTACTTGTATTGTGGGGTTCATGAAATAGTAGTTGTAGAATCTTATACCTTTGTTCCTCAAATAATCTTTTGATGTACATGTTGTCATTTTTCCTCTTGGGATGTTTGATTTTTCGTCAATGATGTTTAACCTGACAGCAGTTCCTCTACCTAACATGGTGACATTTTACAGATTCCTGATGCTTCACCAGTGGAACTTGCAAAAGCATATATGGGTTCGAGGGTTTTAACAGTACCCCCTCTGGCTCTAAGTTGGCGAAGCCATCTCTTTCATGAATATAAAAAAGTTCCAACTAGCTTAACATCTGCTACAAAACCATTTGACCTGAAAGGTCCAAGATCTGTTCGATTTTCTGGATCTACTGTAATTCCCGAAAGTGGCTATCTGACACCAAGATCTTCTGGTAGATCGACAATGTATAGAATGACCTGCTCTCCCTATATTAAGGTCAGTGATGTAGTTGGTGACGTTCACATAATGTGGCTGAAAATAGTGGCAATATTTATCCCTATGTATGACAATTTCTACTCCTAAATTTTTAGGGATGATTTTCTTATCATAGCAAGTTAATTATGTTGTCATTTCAGGGCGAGCGATCTTCCAAAGATGACAGTGTTGGATCTTTGTCACACCGGACACCAGAAAGCACCAGGCAATTAGGGGGTAGACAGGTGGTTTCTTTGCTCTATTCTCATAACACCATAACACCTTGTTATGGTGTATTCTATTCTGTTAGCTTTTCAAATAATTTTGTCTTATCGCTTATTCTTCTAGATTAAGATTTGTGTAGGGTACTCTTTAATGAAACATTTAATCTTTGGGCAGATTTGAATACACAGCTGGATCTCTCCTTGTCCAATTCTTGGATCTGAATTAGACTTAAGCTATAAAAGCTAAAGTCGTTGCCACCATTGCTCCAAAAATAGGTGTTGAGTGTTACAACTAATTTCAATTATAAAACATGAAATAAGTAATCATTCTACTAATAAGAAACACTAACCCTACCCAAATAAAAATTTCACTTTGTCCACTTGAAGATTAGGCTCATGTAGTATTTATAATACAAGAGTATAAGAAAGTCATAGAGTAAGATAACTGCCAGTAAATAATTTTCTGACTTTTACTAGTTGTATCAATCAAGTATATTAATCTGAGGAAATTAACAATCTATTGACATTGGTTTAAGCAAATTTTGTTATTATTAAGATGTAGGCCAGTATGTTGGTTCAAGCAAATTTATTGATATATAAGATGTAGTCCACTATCATTTGTGTAAATTGTTAGAAATGCTGTAAATGCAAGTAGATTTATGAGGAAATTAACTCGTCTTTTTTTTTAGAGTTTTTTTATTTTGCATTTGGCAAGATTGTATTGAGCAGTGATACAATTCATAACAAAATTTTAATTGGTTCTATTATTTCCTTGTTTCAATTAACTATATCTGACTATATGACACGCTTGTCTAGCTTATTAGATAGTAATTTTATTTGAAATAATAGTATGAAAAGCTGAAGATAATTGAGTAGTATCGAAAATGATTGCCGATTGCACAATGATGATGCAGCCTGTAGAAAATTGGCATCAATGTTTTTAAAAACGTTAGGTGCCAAGGTCCCAAAACGCTCGAGGCGTTAGGCGCTCGCTTAGGTGCCCACTCGAACGAAGCAAGATGCTCTAAAATATTCAAATATATAAAATATATAATTGATAAATATGATTATATAAATAAAAATATGATATTAAATTAAAAAAAAAATCTAAAATACCAAGTCACATTATCCATCTTCTAATAACAAAAATGTCAAAAGATTGAAAACAATAAAACTTTACATCAAATTCAATCCTCATCAAAGTCAACACAATATTTTAAAACTTATCATTTTTCTCTTCCTCTTGTCTATAAATTAGCACAATAGATTGTATAGTAGACCACCTGTGCTTGAGGCTTTTGCACTCAATTTTGTCTTCATCTTCTGTCTTATATATGTCTGTAATTCTCTAACAACTGAGGATCTTGTCACATCTCCCTATGTCAAGCTGTCATCTTTAAATACAAGCTCTTCTTTGACATCTTGCAAGTTCGCACTTATTTCCCCTACCAATCACTTATTTGAATCATCAATGTCTTGTAATGACACTGGATCAATATTATTTCGTAAATCATGACGAGCCTTCAATGCTTGATTATACTTTATATAAATTAGATCATGTAATTATTGATGCTGTAACAGATTTTCTCTTTTTGTGAATATGTTATGTCGTATGAATTAAAAATATATTAATATATCTATCTAAAAAGGAATAGATTAATTAAAACGAAAATATTTTGTGATCCTTATATGCTTAAAGACACCCTAGTTTTGCTCACAACCCAAAACGCTATAAGTCAAACTAATAATTTTGATAGTTAATTGTTGTAAGTTCGGGATGAAATTTTCAAATAGACTCCATCATTTGGTTGCAAAATTTAATTTTATTATTAACAATAACATGCTATATATAAAATTAATTATATAAATTTATAAATACCTGAGAATGTAGTTATCTTAGATCGAACTATCATAGGAATTCCAAAAAGAGCATCAACATTTTTATTTAAAGATAATTCATATATGATCTTATCTTGTACCTTAAGGCTTGTAACCAATCTTAAAATGCACTTATATGACCCATCTACAACTTCTGTATTAAACTCAATGGAGGTGTTCTTAGAAAAGAATTATGGGTTCAAAACTTCAAATAATATCTTATTGCATGTAATGGATGATGAAGTTTATAATCCCATCTTTCGTCAATTATTGTAAATATGTTCTTATACCTTTTTCATTTTCAGCAAAAAAACTTTTGAATCTCTTCCTTTGCTCTATTCATAGCCTCATAAATATATCATATTGTAGATTTTTTTTATTATCTAGTCAATCGAAGGACTCAAATCAGAGGGTCTATTACCTTTAATGTATAAATTATAAGATTCCAAAAGGATGACATTTGCTCTTGTATTTCGCGTTTTTGCCTATTTGCTTATCACTTATTATTCAGAGGTAAACATGTTTCTCAGGTTGTGTTTTTGACAATACACACTCTGTAATATCAAGAAGGAAATAACAAATCGGGTGACACCATATCTCACCAATTTCTTGGTGTTTGCGAATCCTCTCATCATATTCTAAGCTCCGGTATGATTATAGAGAAATCTAGCGATAAAGATTGTCCTTCCTAAAGTCTTCTTAATGTCAAAAATCTTTTCAATATTCTCTAGCATTAGATCAATGTAATGTGCCGCCGCATGAAGTCCAATATAGGTGTTGTCTTTTTGCCTTAAGTAATTTACTTAAGACACAAGATAACAAAATTGATAAGACTTGGGAGTCGCATAGTTCTTCCATTTATATTGGAGACAGAGTAATTAAAAGATTAAATCTTACCAACTAACATATAGTTGCTTTCATTGTCGGTTATAACTTGGATGACATTTTGTTTATCAATTTCTTTCACAAACTTGTTAAGCAACTCATATATCTTTTCATTAGATTTCATGAAATAAGATGCATCTATTGACTTCACAAACATAGTTCCTAAATAACAATTGACCATAAAATTGATTATACTCCTATGTTTTCTGTTGGTCCAAACATCTGAATTATAATACACTTGTTAAGCATTATGCGTTAGTCTTTTCATGGTTTGGCACAATGCATGGCACTTTAGTTATTTGAAATCCTTCTGTCTGACCAATGGAACTTGGTCTTATTCTACTGTAGGTTTTCAAACGACGAAGTTCGGTATTGGAAAGTGATCTTGGGCCTTTTCTCCCTATACGTAGTATTCGTCAAAAGTTGTCTGTGAAGCCTTCTTCAAAGGTGATGCATTCAGTCCTTCCTGGAAATCTTCATCATAGTCCCTCGACCCCATTTAAGAGGGATGCTCAAGATGATTTATCAGTGATTCAAAAGCCTATTTGGTCGGATGGACATGAAAAAAGTGGAAACAACAGGATTTCTAACAACATTCTTACTCCTGTTTCACCTCAGTCAAGTGAGATGGAAAAGAAAATATTGCAGCAGCTAGATAAGCTAGTGCCTTCACCGAAGGAAAAAACATCTAAGCTAAAGTCTAATACTCTGGATGAATCGCTTGATAATGTGATGCATGCATCCTTGGGTCAGACACTCAGGAATGAGGAAATGTACTCCACCAAAAGCAAATTTGTTCAAGGCAATAATTTGGATTCTTTCAGGGGTTCCCTCATGCCAGATTTCAGGAATTCTTTATCTTATAAACAAGAGACGGCCAGGTTCCCACAGGAGAATTGCTCCTCAGTGCCAATTTCAGGAGTCAAATTAATGTCTGAAGCCAATGATATGTGTGATGGTATTATATCTGTCACAGCTGCTATGTGTGACAAGGCTGCTGCAGAGGCCATGATCTCAGATTCTGTCATTGTTTCTCAACATCAGAAGCTAGCTTTTCAGTCTGCTGCACTTAAGGTGTGGAAGCTCTTCTTTTATTGTTATTTGAAAATGTTCCATCTAACTAGAAAAATCTGATTTAAGTTATATGTCAATAGTGCCCTATTGACATATCCATTTTATGTGGCTTAGCCTTTTCAAGCATGTTAAAGTATTTGTCTTTACTTTGTTGTCAAGGATACACAAGATGTGAGTAATACATATACTTCGATGGATGCTTCATGTCCATTGAAGGACAAAGATGAGATGAAGATAACAGATAAAGCTGTCCGACCTTCAATAATAAGAACTAATTTGTCTTCCTCAATGACATCCACAAGCTTATCCTCATCTTCTTCCGACTTCTCCAAGGCAGCTCATCTGAAGCTTTCTGTTGATTCGATTGCCGAGAGTGGCAAGGGTTTCACTTTTCCTTTTGCTACTGCTCCCAGTACTTCTCAAATACCTCCAACACCTACTATGCCAAGTTCATTAGTAAAAAAGTCAGCAATGCAAAAAGGACAAATAGATGCACCCTTGTTTAGCTTTGGCTCCAAGGACTCTAATAGAGCAGATTTTTCATCAACCACAACCATGAGGAGTTTTAGTGCCACTTCTGGTCCAGGAAATGACATAAGGTTAGCTCTAACTGTTTGTATTGGCCATTTTTTTTCTCATTACCAATACTATCATCTACTCAAAGTTTGAGTCCTTTTTAATCTAATTATTGTCCTGAAAACCTCTTTTGTTTCACTGTGTGTGAGAAGCTACTAATACATCTTGGTAAATTACATGTATAACTATTTTGAGGAGGCTTTTCTTTTTAGAGGGGTTTAATATTTAGCACTCTTGTTTCAGCTGTAATATTTCTTTATGCATGATATTGATAAAAACTCTATAGGTTTCTGAGGGAGCTTTTATTGGCAATCATATATGGAATCAAATGAGAACTTATCAACATGATACAGTGAAAACAGAGGTTTATAAACTTAGTAACAACACTGATTACTTCATTATGAGGACATTCAGAAGATTCTCATATAGGAATTAATCCAGTTGAAGCTAGGTTAAGAACCCTTGAGTGCTATATGATTTCTAAGTATAATCTTTTCAAGAAATATATTTATTTTCAAGAGAAACAGACTGATCATGCTTCAGATATAATTTCTTGTGACAGCTTTATGCAGTTTCATCTTTTGGTAATAAAATTTTGATACATCGCTACACATGACACCCATGGTTGCATATGTAGATGCATATAGATTATTATGTTTAAATACCAGCATATTTGCTCACCTACTCTTTTAGGTATGTATAATATCTTTAATAACCTTGCAATACAAATTTATTTTTTACATTTACAGCACTAAGATTTATGTAGATGTGGAGTCTGTTATCATCTATGAAAGAAAAGGTTAAGTACTTGATCACATTTCAGGAGCCAAATATGTATGTCCTTCATACAACTTATGAAATTAGTCTAGAATATCTCTTTTGATGGTGTATGTCCTAGTTATGTCTTGCAATGAGCTAGTTTCTTTATATGAACGTATTAGACTTGAAGCCACATTCTAGTTTTCACCTAGGCTTTTTGCCTAATGAATGTTTTGAGTTCCACTGATATCCAGATAATTGTGCTGCTATTGTTTATGCTGCAGCAATGCCACAGCATCAGCAATGGTAAAAGATTCTGATGCAGATAAACACGAAGGTCAGATATCCATAAATCTGTCAAAATCAGTTGGAGTTGATAATTCTGCAGATGAATCAACATCAAATATCCCTGTCGTATATTCTTTTGGTTCCTCCCACAATGAATTCATGCCTAATGGATCATTAAATTTGCCTTCTGCATCTTCTGCTGTTTCAGTCATGGCATATTCTGGAAGCACTGGTAGCATGATTTTCTCTACGGTGACTGCTGTCTCTGCCAGTTCCTTCAGTACATTTGTTTCGTCTGAAGCACCACCACTTTCCACTGTTCCCTCACTCCAGTTTGGGTCAACAGCCTTTCTGGTTTCTCCCACTTCAGTTTCTCAACCATTAGATAAATCTACTGCAACAGATTTTGAAGGAATGCATAGCAAGGTACCACCATTCAACACAAACACTGCCAATCCAGGTACAAGTGCAAATTACATGTTTGGAGGCAGCTTTTCCTCTGCAACAAACACTGGCTCTATTCTGGCAACGTCAACTGTTTCAAGCATCGGAAACAGTTTTATTGCTCCTGCTGCATCAACTCTATTTTCAGTGGCTGCTGGCAGCCAATCTGCTCTTGCACCAGCATCAACATTTTCTGGTGCAAGCAACAGCACATTCAAGTTTGCTTCAGCACAATCTAATGATTCAAACCCATCGGTTGTGGACAACAATACCAGGGGCGTTGCTGGAAGTGTTGGCACTCAGTCAACTCAGGGTGGAAGTGGAATCTCACAAATTTCTGAGAGTTCATCAAGTCTGTTTGGGCCCTTCTGTTCATCTCCGACTTTTGGGTCGAATGTTTTGTCCTCGTCCAGTTTAGGCAGCGCACAGTTTGGGGCAGCAACTACAGGTTTCGATCTATTGAGTTCAAGTTATTTGTTTTCTTCTTCAGTAGGTGCTAATTCTTCCTGCCTCAGTGCCACATCTTCCTCTGCACTGGCACCAGCCCCTAGTTTGTTTGGTTCCACCTTCCAATCATCAATATCATCTGCTTTTGGTACTTCTTTTGGTTCAAATGCATCTTATTCATCTACAGGACTTGCATTTGGAGTCTCAGGTTCTGGTGGTTCACCGTTTGTGTTTAGTTCATTGTCAGCACCAGCATTTTCTACAAATTCTGCTGGTGGTAGTAGTTCATCAAACTTATCTGGACAGCCTGTATTTGGCTCATCAAGCCCAGCCACTGCTTTTAGTTCTGGGACTCCTAGAAACGATCAGATGAATGTTGTGGATAGCATGGTTGAAGATTGTGCCAAGTCAGCAGGCAGTTTGGTTCCACAATTTGGCCAACCAAGTACTTCATCCAGTATAACAGTATTTGGTACTCCAGTGACTCAGCCAACTGCTTCCCCATTCTTTCAGTTTGGTAGTCATCAGCAGCCCACTCTTCCTCAAAGTTCCCCATTTCAGGCATCTGGTAATCTTGTTGAACAACTTCCTCAAGGAGGAAGCTTTTCTTTGGGTAGTGGTGGTGGCGACAAGTCTGGGCGGAAAATTGTGAAAGTCAGACGGGATAGGCTACGAAAAAAATAGCACATATGCCCCCATAGAGAAATCTAGCTGCGTATGCAGATATAATTAAAGTTGTGCGTTGCTGCCGAAGAAATTCATGTTTACTCTATCATGGCAGGACATTTGGAGGCAAGAAGCAAGTCTTTTATGCTTCTTCAGCCATTGCTGAATGCCATATTGAAGTAAGCTTGCCTTCACGCCATATACCTGTTGGCTTCATTTCTACAATTTTGGTCTACTTGTATTGATCAATGGCACTGAGATATGCTTTCTCTGTGTTGGTATGTACCTCACTATTGTAACATAGAACTTACTATATTTCTTTTTGTATAATTGGTTCCGTGAAGAGGGTTATCCTCATTAGTATCATGCAATTTGTCAGAGTTCATTCTTTTTTTTTCATCAAAGCAAAAAACATCTTACCTTTTTTTTTCACTTATGCATAATAGGACATGGGTGAATCAGACATGAGAAAGGATTGATTGTAATTAGGTATTGAATGTGAGATTTGCTGTTAATTAGGTAGTCGAATGTGTTATAAGTTCATAAGAGTGAGATTTTGGATACATGTCAGAATCCATGTTAGATTGTTTTTGTGAACATGTGCAAGTGGTGGTTAGAAAAAATTCTTGGTTGTTGGTATGAAATAGTTGAAGACAGATTTGCTGTATGTTGTACCAACAATAGCAGACATGAGCCTCTCAAAACCTGTAGAATATTATGCATATGACTTGTGGACAGTCAGATTTTTCTCCATTGATCATTTGAAACTGTATGATTCCTACTTGTTGCTGTCCAGGTGATTTTGTGGCAACAGTTTGCTCCACCCATAGCGTGTGGATTACTCGATTGCTGATCTATGTGCAAACATAATTTGATGGCACTTGTACAAGTGGTCTACTAATCCATTTTAGACCACAAGAACAAATATGAGTCTTGGCAAACCAGGTGAGATCAGAAGGGAGTACAACTTTGTATTAAACCCCCACGGTGTTTTCAGATCACATATCATACTTTTAAGAGCACTTGCTTAGAAATTTTTTTCCACTAATGACCTGTGTTTGTTTCTCACTGTGGATCACTTGTTGGTTTTGGTCTTGTCATTCGGACCAATTGGTCTGTTTGGTGAGACTATATGCTCCTCAGTATGTCTTGAGTGGATCACTTGATGGTTTAGAAGTTGCCATGGAAACTTGACACTTGATGAAGATGTTCTACAGAATGAAATGTGTTTTGTTTCTCACTGTTGATCACCTGCTGGCTATGAACTCTTTACGTAAAGCAGTGGCATTTGGACAACAATGTACTCTAACTGTTCTTTCTATGCCAAGTTTGATCACTTCAAGTGTTCATAGATCTGTAACACCTAATCAATTTGTGCTGAAACATCAATAACCACATTGGCTGGCTTGTGTATTTGCAATAATATGAATGTATGCAAGCCTTTTCATTATATGGTGTATGGATATACTTAGATGAATCAGTCTTCCCGCTAAGATGGGCACAGAATGGCTCGGCAGAGAACAAGAATGGTTCAGCAAGTGATGAAAGAGACAAATCCCTAAGGACAATCAGCTTGTTCTGTCTTGCAGTCTACTTAGAATATAATGCTCCCTTTACGAGAAGTGACGTTTCAGGCTTTTGTTGCAGAAAGATAGAAAGAGACAAACCTCTCTCTTGGTGGGGTTCATTGAAAGGAACATCAAACAAAAGAGAGAGAGAGAGAGAGAGAGAGAGAGAGAGAGA